CCTACATTGTATAGATACAAGTAATGTTGTGTCATCCCGTCTTAACCATGTGCAGAATTCATGACATTTGGCCTGTCATTCATCATGAACAGGAACCGAGGTGGAATTTTTCAAATCCTGTTTTGATGGAGAAGATTTCCTCCTATGTCACGGGCTGCGAAGGAGTGCAAAAGAGAATGCTGGCTGTATTTGAGATGTATCAGAAGCAATGGCAGGCAATTCTTGCACAGAGTAAGGAACCAAGGTGGTTTAGATTTGTCATGTGTATCATAGCGGAAGTTGGTAATAAGTAATTGTATCGACTCATAACTACATACATGTACATTTGTCAAAACAGCTGATCAAGAAGTCGATTTCTTGTGGTTTGCTTTAGCACAACTAAGAGAGTGGATGGGAGGAATTGATTTTATCGATCTGAACAGCAGACAATGTACCCGTACACACATTAAAGGAGAGATGACTTGTTGAAGTTGTGGTAGCAGTTTACGTACCTGTCCATTTTTTCCTAAATTCATGTGTTGAAGTAATGAAGCTTTAAGAATCTGGTAAGTACATGTATGCATGCTGTTTGTGCTTTTGACCCAAGTGGGGTACGTCTACACTGCACTTGACGGTACATGTACACATGTGTTTCATTGTCTGTGAGCAGTCCAGATGTGTGGATTAACACTTGCTGTAATTTGATGAGATGACTTGGAGTACATTACTCCTTTAGCCAGAGCTTGAGTCAATATTCTACCACTGGAAGTCTAAATTTGCCTTTCATTTGTAAAGCGTTGTATCTAAGTTGCTAAAGCCTTTGCTTCTGCATTAAGCTTTTGCATAAGAATAAAAAGGTTTCTAAAAGTCCCTGCAAGGTGTCCAAAAGAGACGTTGAGATTTCTTTTAAATCTCTGAAGTTCGTTATCTGCGGTCCTCATAGATCGGTGTCTACCCATCTCATGTGTTGTCTTGAATCATAATTTTGCCATGATCGGTATGCAGTTACGACCGCACCTAACCAAAGAGGATTATTGTTTTGGTTGGTTGATTGATAGCTTCCATCTATTGCTGAGCTCACAGTCACACCATCAAATTGTGATTAATTCTTTTCTTTTTCTTAAGACTCCTGCCCCAGCACACTGCCCTCACTGCTAGAGTTCCCATCAACCTCACCATCAGACACTCATCAACCAGTTTGCCAGCCCTGGGACAGACGTCCACCTAAAGGCTACAGACACCTGTGGGGTTTCCTCAGGATGGCTGCCATCAATTTCCAAGGCTATAAGATGAGCTTTGACTTCATTGGGAAGAGACTCCATGAGAAAGCAGCACAGTATCTGGTAAATTGTCTGGGATGAAAAATATGTGTGACCATGTCAAGTTATGATAATAATTTTTGTCAAAAACCACCAAATACATGCTTGATCAACAGCACCATTGTTTGCAATTTTTAGTTGACTCCCCTCTCATTTTGACATTGACATCCAATGTGGTTACAGGAACAAGGAACATTAACAATATAGTGTATTGGATGGAACTTTTTTTGTGTAAGAGTGGAGTGCATTGTCCAAAGTGGTATGTGACAGGCTAAGTCTCATCACTGTGATCAGCCTTTTTTGAGATTTGGCAGACCATCTAACAGTTTGATCCTACTGACGTCCTAGTCTCAAAAGGTTAGTTGTATTGCTACATGTATTTGGAAGCATGCATTTAAGGACAAGTGCATTTAAGGACAGGTGCTTGGAAGGACAGGTGCATTTAAGGACAGGTGCATTTAAGGCCAGGTGCATGGAAAGACAGATGCAGTTGTCAGCTCTAGTCTCTGTTTTTCTGTTTGCTCTTGCTTGATACTGGTCTCACTTTATGTCCTCAACAGGCTGCTGGTGGTTTGTCTGAGATACCAGCTATCCTCCCTTTCCTCCGACAGGCCAGTTGCTATGGTAACCACAAATCCTCCTACATGCTAGGCACACTGTATGCCGGTGGAATCAATGTGGATGTGGATCTGAATGAGGTGAGAACTTCTGCAGTTAAAAAGGTTTAGATGTGAAAGTTGTTTGGATCAGCAAACTTTGATGGCATAATCACTTTGTTAGTGTCTCACAATCACATCAAATGAGATTATGTTTATCTTTGCTTCAGGTTCTTCAGTCGTTTGAATTTGTGAAAAAAAAGAATAATTCTACCAATTAATTTTGGCTGATCTCAAAGACTTAAAGACTTTAAAAGGCACGTAGATCTAAACTTTTTATCCTTTCTTTCTGCAGGCATATTTGTACTGGCTGGTTGCCGCTGAGGCAGGGAACCGATTAGCCATGCTAGCATTGGCCAATCATCATCAACAAGGACTGAGCACAGCATCCACTGACTTTGACTTGTCTTACAGTAAGCTGGAGGATGTAAATTTATGGAACATGAATCATTTTTTACATCGGTCTGCTGTATTTCTTCATTCAGTGTAGTGCTTTTCCTTATTATTTATGTTTTCAGATTACTTAAAAAGGTTGGCCGACTTGACAGTCAAAGATCGAGAAAGACACGATCCTAATGGGGTATGTACCTGTCATTATTACTCAAACTACACTCCTCCAAACTGGACTGGACTAAACTGGACTAAACTGGACCGATTTGGAACCTGATCCAACCAGACTGGACTGGACCGGACCGACTTAGAACATGACCCAACCAGATTGCACTGGAAGGGGCCAACTTGGAACATGACCCAACCAGACTGGACTGGACTGGACCGCCTTGGAACATGACCCAACCAGACTGGACTGGACCGACTTGGAACATGACCCAACCAGACTGGACTGGACAAGACCAACTTGGAACATGACCCAACCAGACTGGACTGGACTGGACTGGACCAACTTAGACCTTAACCCAACCAGACTGGACTGACTTGGACCGTGACCCAACGCTGATGCTGAGCCTACCTCCAGCACTGACCACCAACAACAGAAATAACCTGAGAAAAATATCTTGGGATGAGAGTGCTTATGAATGAGATACCTTTGCACAGGATTCTCTGGAACCAATCCGGCCAAATGGACCAACACTCATTTCTCATCAGTTTTTATTCCATGAAATCGTTTAAAGTTGAAAATAGTGTTAGGATTTTCAAACAGTCTTGACACATTTGGAGTTTCCCAAATGGATTTGGTTCCAGCTACAGATTCAAGTTTCAGTGACATGAATAAATCACATAAGAGAGAGAAGATCTTTCAACTCAAAGCTGATCCATATTCAGCTCAAACAAAACATACATTAACAACTGAAAACAGGTCAATATTGCAGAGTTTTCATTTAGTTTCAATGCAAAGATTTCAAAAATAACTGCAGATCCTGAGACAGGGGATGGATCATAAGTCATCTATAAACAAGATCTTTTAAATGGCTCGTTGCTTCTATGCGTATGTCCCATCATGTTCTTGTGTGTACCTGTTCATCCATCTGTCAGTCATGAATGGTTGAATGGATATGATTTCATCATTTCTGTGCTAAGGTTTTAACCGAGTATGTGAGGCTGACAGACACCGACTCACTTAAAGTACACAAAGGAGAGGATGGTGACCATTTCTTGTGGTTGAAATACCAAGCAAGGAAAGGCATTGCACAGGCACAGGTGGGTGTCTGGGCTCTAGACTTCAAAAGAAATAGTTTTGAAACCAAATGTGTGAAGAACTATTTTGTTTAAAGAAACCTGATGTCCTAGCACAACTAGAAAGTTTTCTGATGATGAATTTTTCCACATAAATCTGAAGTTGTATATGTTACCAACCCAATCCCTCGCTCCATCCAGAGGCCACATCGACCCATTGCTTGTCCCTTAATGCTCAGTTTCTGGGTACTTTTGATATCACATTTTTCTTTTGCTTTAATAGTTGTGTTCCTGAATCTATTGTCATGTCAGACAGGTGCACGATAAAATGTGTAATAGTTGTGTTCCTGAATCTATTGTCATGTCAGACAGGTGCACGATAAAATGTGTAATACATTTGTACATTAGCTTTGGTGATAGAAAATGTGGTTGCTTAATAAAGCCAACTTTATTTTTGCAAGGTACAGTAAACTCTCGATAACTCAAAGTTGGTTCACTCAAAACTCTGCTGGTCTTGCAAGCATTCTTCACTCCTGCTAAAAGAATAGATTTTATAACCAAAGTACCTCCGGAACTCTAAACGCCCACACCACTACATCTGCTTATTCAAAATTTTTGAAGGGTTGATCCAAAAAAACTGCTGTGAAATTACTGACAATGAGTGGAAAAAGAACACAGAGACTTTAATTATGAGTCATTTCTGCAAACCACACTTCATCTTTTTGTATGAGGACACGAGGGTGCATGCTGCCAGTGCCACTGTATGTGTAATTGACTCGTCAGACCACAACCTAAACAAATCCCGGCTTTCAAGCAAGCCTGATTGCCATTACGGCCCAAATGTAGCCTGCACACACGTAGTCCAATCATTGATTGCTTATGGTGGCCATATGACCACATTTAAGGAAGCTTTGTGCATGCTGCGGCTCAAGCCTGACTGCCACTACGTGCCCGATTGCAGTGCTTGCATGCCACTCACAATCATGCTGATCACGCTTACTGACATGCGTTCCCAACGCGGTGCTGGAAATGCTGATTTGCGTATCCAAACTCCATTCAAACTTTTAAAAAAAGGAAGGGTAAGAGAATGAGGAAAAATTTTCAGGATGTCTTAGAACTTCATCAATTGATGAAGCAGATTTTGTCTATCCTAAGTACAACTACATGTAATCACTCCAGATAAGCAAAGCCTAGTACATGTAATCACTCCAGATAAGCAAAGCCTAGTACATGTAATCACTCCAGATAAGCAAAGCTTGGTGAGGTTGTATTTCCCTTGGCACCCAATGGACCACACCCAATAGTCCAGGACTAATCTTCTGTACCTTGTCATATGAACCCCCCCCACCAACCCACCCCAACTGAAAGCCCATGCATGAAGCAACGATTCCAGGATGCCATTATTTCTTTGCCTTGTTCCCTTTATCCATCACAGCTCCCCCCCTCCCCCTTCCGGTATTGGTCGTTCCTTCCTCCACCTTTCACCCGCTGTTCCTGTCTCTCTTCTCCCACCCCCTGTAGCTTGATATGGCCCGCATACTATTCTGGGGGCAAAGGGGTATTGACAGGGATGTCCAACAAGCTGTAGAGCTATACCGATTATATTTAATGGACAATCCCCAAGATGAGGTGGTGCATTATGACTATGGGATTATTCACCTGCAGGTAAGTCTTAATAGTAATAAATAGTCTTATATCTCTCAAGTTTATTTCTTTCAAGGGTTGTTTCTCTGTTTTCAGACAAATCCACTTTCCTCTAATTGACGGTACCCATTTGTTATTTTCTCCTCTGATATTCTGTTAATGCTGTCACGTCAGGCCTCAATAGCTAGACTGAAATTCTGGGGATCGGAGGGCGTCAAACGAGACATGAAAACTGCCGTCAAATATTATGAAAAGACAGTCAAAGAGATGCCACAGAACAGTGTGGCTCTGTATGACTATGGCATAGTGTTACTCAGGGTACGTGCAGGGGTTAAACATTTCTAAAACAAGCATGCGGCTCTTCCATGTTTCCTTGTTTTTACCTTTTATTCATGCCAAAATTGTTGAGTTTGGAGTCTTAAATTTCCATGGGTGTTTCATGGGCAGTTCCCTGGTGTTGTGGGTTCTCGGAGAAAAATGTCTCTCAATATTTTTCTACATACAGCACAAATGTTTGAAAGAACTTAAGAGTACTTCATCAATTTCTGGTTCTTGCACAAGCTAAAGAACCAGAATTTCACCATTACTTAAAGACATCTTTAATGTAAATGATGCCTGAGAATCTTTTGACTGTCTGCCCCAAGCATGCAGAAATTGAACGTATGCATGTCATTTCTGTACTGAACATCAGACCCAACTTAAGGACTGAGTTACCAGTAGTTCTGTGTAGTGGCTTGAGCCGTGTTTGTTCTGGACTTTTTTTTGGTGGGTTTTACTGAGCCGATGGTAAAATAAAAAATGGTCAAATGTCACCAATCTCCACACTTGGACTTTTGACACAGGAAAATTTTACTGAGACCGTGGGCAATGTAACCAAGCTGGCAATGCAGTGCTGCTGTGCTCAGGACGGATGTACACTCTACTGACCACTTTTCCCATGGTTTTACTGACTTGCGCTGGACTTTTTGTCTCGGGAAAAGTGTCTCGGTAATTTTTCCTGGGCAGAAGTTGGTCGGTACAAATGACTGCGTGACTCAAAAGTAACCAAGAGCAAAACTTACTGGGATGTCCACACTGGACTTAAAATGAGAAAAGTAACCAGCGTCTCAGTTAGTTTGACCAAAAAATGTCCAATGCAAACACGGCTGAAGGTTGCATAGGAGACAGGTATTTGGTTTTCAGTTATGGATATTGCAACAGACTCATCCAACTAGATGCAGTTGCTGAGATGGTACCACACTCACAAATGTTACACTTGTTCTTAAACTCGAGACATGTATTTTGGCAGCTCACAAAACCGCACTGACAAAAACACATCAACAGGTATGCAACTTTTTTCAGATCAGCTGATTTCCTCGTTTTTCACTTCACACTTATGCCATTGAAAATTGAAAAACACTGTTGAAAGTCTTGTAAAGATTAGAATTTCCTCATTTTTTGGTCAAAGTCCAAGTGTCATGCCTGCATGTAATAGGCATGTACATGTACAATCTGTCAGCAAACATGAATCCACTGCAGTTATGTTTTCTACATGTACATCTAGTTACTGGATTATCCTATTGGACGTTGATAGTTATTTTTGGTTATTTCGTCAAATGATGAATCTTATTCAACCGTATTGGCCGTTGATGGTAAAAAATGAAAGCCTTTGGTGTCGCACATACACTACAGTGTGTATATTCACATTTACAAAGGCAAGATTGTGATGGTATGTGGATCTATGTACTAAGCATAGTGCATAGTAATTCTGCTGTCTATCATTTGAATTTTTATGTCCACTCTCTGACCTCATTTTGGTGGTGGGCTCGGTATTTTTCATGTTGGGTTGTACAAGTACATGTAGATTAGATACATTTGAAATGTTCAATTTGTTTTGATATCTCCTGACATATATCAGAGATCAGGCCTGAGCATCAAAAGAAATTTTCACTTTTTTAATTTTTTTTCCAAAGGGACAGGGAACAAAGAAGAATGTTGAGAAGGCCC